TCCTATGATGCTGCTTGGCCTGCTGTGTTCATCCAGCTCTATACATTCGTTTTAGGCTGTTGTGTTTTCTGCAGTTTTTTAATGGTTTGTTTTATTTTAGTTGAATACTATAACTTCCATTGCATAAGTCATTTTAACTAGATATGAATGTCACACCCTGACACTCTGTTTAGCAATCATTACATAGTACAATTTAAAAACTTAGATTTAATTATACATGTCAGCTAGTTCTCCTCTTTGTCACTGATGTTAAATGGCAGAACTAGTATTCCTAATTAGTTGAGTATCATATGTATTTATCTTAAACTATTAAAGTTCAGTCTTGTTTGACTGTAATCTTTTGGACTATTTGGGTAATTTTATTTGTTTAGATTGGGGAAACTTTCAACTTATATTCTTTAAATTACGTTCTAAATAAATTCAGATCTTCAGAAAAAATCTGAATTTTTAAATTATTGTATGCAAATCTTTTCCAATCATAAAAAGCTTTACATTAAAGTTTCCTTTTAATTGCTTCATTCGTCTTAGTTAGATTCTTTTACGAGTTAATGTCTAGACCATTACATTCTCCTCTCCTGTGGGCAAAGTCAGACCACATGCTGGAAGGAGTAAATTCCTCACTCATCCATCTACCTTAACAATATGCAGTTTTTTGCCTGCTCAGACCCTTCTGATTAGTTGGTTTAAGAGTGAATCTGTTGATGGGTTTATAGAGTGGGCATTCATGAGTACATTCAGCATCAAATATTTTATAACAGCTGATACGATGCAGACAGGTGAAGACCAAAAGTTTTATAGAACAGCTTCATCAAACACAAATCATTCCAAAAGAAATGGAAGGGGGCAGCATGCAGGACAAACTGCATTTAGGAGGAATGGCATGGGAGCTATGAAATGGGGGGTGACATAGCATGAGGGGGAAGGGATGGTTTAAGCAGAAGGTTGGGATGAAGGATGATGTGACGAAAGGAATGGTTTGAGCATGACATAAAAGGGAGAGCATTGGGAGGATGGAACAGCAAGGGGTGGGGGATTTAAATAAAGTCCCAGTAAAGTTACTAATTTCACTAGAAATGTGCATACTCTGCTAGTTTTTAAATAACAACTGGGATGAAGAAATATGTGTTTTTAAATCTACCTATGTTTCCTCAATGAACAGGCAGCAGAAGGCTTATATTGCTACACAGGGACCGCTGGCAGAGACCACAGAAGATTTCTGGCGTATGCTATGGGAGCACAATTCCACAATTGTAGTAATGCTCACAAAATTGAGGGAGATGGGTCGAGTAAGTAACAATTTACCTTTGCGCTCCCAACTGCACAATAAAACTATCTACAATGAAAGTCATTCACTGGTTATTAGCTAAGATACTTCGTTTGTAATCGTGTGAATAGTAGTATAAGTCCCAGGATTGAACTTGACAATGACTTTTTTTGGGTGGGGGTGGTGAAGAAAGAAAACAAAAGTATAGTGTTAAAATTTAGAGCCATCTGACACTAAATGTGTGTGGCCAAATTGTAACACTTCTTTCAACAAGAATGAGTCATAGAGATCGATAGCACAGAGAAAGGCCTTTTGACCCACTGTATTCGCGCAGATCAAAAACAACTACCTAACTCTGCTAATCCCATTTTTCAGCAGTTAGTCCATTAGCCTAGAATGCATTGGCATTGAAAGTGCATATCTAAATTCTTCTGAAATGAGGGTTTCTGCCTCTATAACCCTTACAGGCAGTGAGTTCCAGATTCCCATCAACGTCTGGGTGAAAAGGTTTTTCCTCATGTCTCCTCTAAGACTTCAGTCCCTTACCTTAAATCTATACCCCCTGGTCACTGACCCCTCCATCAAGGGGAAAAATCTCTTCCTGTCTACCCTATCTCTGCCCCTCATAATTTTATATATCTTCATCATGTCCCCTCTCAATCTCCTTTGCTGTATGGATAGCAAACCCAGTCTGTCCAATCTCTCTTTATAATGGAACCTCTCCAGCACAGGCAACATCCTGGTAAATCTCCTCTGTACCTTCCCCAATGCTATTACATTCCTCCTTTAATGTGGATTCCAGAACTGCACACAGTACACTAACTGTGGCCTAACCAACATTTTATACAATTCCAGCAAAACCTCCCTGCTCTTAAACTCTATGCCTTGGGTAATAAAAGCAAGTATACCATGTGCGTCCTTAGCCACTGTTCCTGTATCCTGATACCTTAAGGGTCAAGTGGACCATAGATACCAGTGCACTTCTGATCTTATCATGCAAAAGATGAAATTGAGCCTGCTTTAGGAGCAATAAATTGTGTGGTGTCACCTATTTAGAGATTAAACAAAACCTGAAAATGCTTGAAAAACTCAACAGATTTGACAATATTGGTGGATAGAGAAACAGAGTTAACAGAGTCTAATTACTCTTTGACTTGTTCCAAAGAAGTGGAGAACTCAAGAACTTCCAGCATCCACAATATGTTGCTTTTATTTTACCGTTTAGAGCATATATATGTTATGCTGAGTGATGCTGATTCATTCTTTCATTCTCATCAGGAAAAGTGCCACCAGTACTGGCCAGCAGAACGCTCTGCTCGGTATCAGTATTTTGTGGTAGATCCAATGGCTGAATACAGTATGCCACAGTATATTCTGCGGGAGTTCAAAGTAACAGATGCCAGGGTAAGTGTGAAATATGAGTCATATCAATACTCCTTAATGTTCTTCTTGGGTACAGACCGCTAACAATGTGATCCACTGCTATGAGTATATAATCTAAAGTATTAACTTGCAACATCATTGGCTAGACTTTACATATATCTTGAGTGAGAAAGAGTATTTCAAAGAGAAAAAGAAAAGCTGGAGAGAAAGATGGGATTAAGAGGAAAGGCAAGAGAGAAGATAGGAATAAGTATTTCAGTTGAACTAAGAGGGGAGGATTGCTGTGAAACCTCATGCAATGGCTCCTGAATGCAGACTAAAAGTAGCAATGGGGCGAGACCTGCCTCAACTTAGGGCCAGGTGCACAGCTGTTTAAATTTGCCTGAACAATCCCACAATTTGAAGAGGGATGTAGATTTTTCATTTAGTTTGAGAAAATTGCAGAACAAATTAAATGGTTGATTTGATTTGATTTGATTTATTATTATATGTACCGAGATACAGTGAAAAGTATTGTTTTGCATGCTAACTGGACAAATTATTACCTACATAAGTATATCACTGTAATAGAACAGAATGCAGAATACAGTGTTCCAGATACAGAGAAGGTGCAGAGAAAGATCAACTCTTAATATATGAGAGGTCTGTTCATAAGTCTGATAACAGTGGGGAAGAAGCTTTTCTTAAATCTGTTGGTACATGTTTTCAAACTTCTGTATCTTCTGCCCAATGGAAGAGGGTGGAAGAGAGTATAACCAGGGTGGGAGGGGTCTTTGATTATGTTGTCTACTCTCCCAAGGCAGCAGGAAGTGTAGACGGAGTCGATGGGAGGAAGGCTGGTTTTCATGATGGACTGGGCTGCATTCACAACTCTCTGTAATTTGTTGCAGTCTCAGGGAGAGTCGTTACCATACCAAGTTGTGATGGATCTCAATAGGATGCCTTTTATGGTGCATCAATAAAAATTTGTATGAACTGTTGTGGACATACCGAATTTCCTTAGTCTTTTGAGGAAGTAGAGATGTTGGTGTGCTTTCTTGACTGTAGCATTGACATGGATGGACCAAGACAGGTTGTTGGTGATATCTACACCTAGGAACTTGAAGCTCTTGACCACCTCCACCTCAGCACCATTGATACAGATAGGGGCATGTCCTCACTCTGCTTCCTGAAGTCAATAACCAGCTCCTTCATTTTGCTGACACTGAGAGAGAGATTGTTGTATTTACACCATCTCCTCTACTCTATCTCATCATTGTTTGAGATCCAACCCACTATGGTGTCATCAGCAAATTTGTAAATGGAGTTAAATCTGAATTTGGCCACACAGTTGTGAGCATGTAAGGAGTATAGTAAGGGGCTGAATATGATGCCTTGCAGGACATTGTTTTTGAAGATTATTATGGAAGAGGTATTGTCACCTATCCTTACTGATTGCAGTCTGTGGGTCAGGAAGTCAAAGGTCTAGTTGCAGAGGAGGGTGCACAATCCTAGGGCTTGGAGTTTGGAGATGAGTTTTGTTGTGAATTATGGTTTTGAAGGCAGAACTCAAGTCAATAAATAGGAATCTGACCTAGGTATTCTTGTTATTCAGATCTGCCAGGGATGAGTATAGAGCCAGGAAGATGGCATCTGCCATGGACCTATTGTGACAGTAGGCAACTTGTAATGGATCAAGGCAATCTGGGAGGCTAGAGTTGATGTGTGCCATTTGTTGCGAAGTTGGGTAGAGTACTTGTGTATTGGGAGGCAGGAAGTTAGAATTTGGTGTTTGTAAAATGTTAGGGGTGAAAGTATTGTGTGGTCCCTTTAAAAGATGATGTGTTTTTTCTATGCTTAGAGATTTAAAAAAAAAATGTCTGTTAGCAGCTTGAAAGTCTGCAAATACAGAGAGCACCTGAATTGAAACATTTGTATCAAAAGGCTGTACAGTTAGCAGGCCAAGCAGCAGTTTTGTTATGTTATCAAGACAACACGTTTTGAATTTAGCCAATCAATTTGAACCAGGCACTTAGATAACAAAAACACTATTAATTTTAAATCTGATGGTTTTGACAACATAGGATCCAATCCTATTGTAAGAAATATTGATATGTCATCAAGGGTATTAAAGAAGGGTCAGTTGGGCAAAGACAGGAGAACTAACTGCCATCTGCCGGAGTTAACAGCTCTCAGCTCTCAAGAGAGAATTGCTGGCTTTCACAAGTTCTCTAAGTCTTAGAAAAAGCACCATCAAAAAACTTAAAGTGGGACTTGTATTTATTGAAACAGATTACCATTAGAATCTTGTTTTATTCAGGAATAGTTCGTAGTTAGAAGGGATTTATTCAGTTTGTTGATAGTTTAATTAATTTGTTTGAATATAGCAAGCCAGGTAGCATCTGGAGGATAGGAGAAGTTAACATTTTGGATATTACCCCTCTTCCTGAAGATGGGTAATACCCAAAACGTTGACTTCTCCTTTCCTCCAGATGCTGCCTGGCTTGCTGTGTTCTTCCAACCTCCTGTTTGTCTACCTTGAAATCCAGCATCTGCAGTTTTTTTGTCTTCAGTTAATTTGTTCACTGTTAGAGTTAGATAAATAAATTGTTACTTGTTCATTGTAAAATGAGTGTCAGGGGTTTGTTTTATTTAACCACTAGAAGTTGCTGAAACGCAGGTTACGCTACTGTTCACAGTCCTGTTACAGATTATAGAGCAGTGTGCTCCTGTTTGGGTGTTTCGGTTTTAGTTCTCAGAGGGGAGGATCAATCTCTGCTTTATAAAACATTACTAACCTCTCGAAGCACTTCATAATGATGGATGTCAGAGCTACCGGGCAGTAGTCTTTAAGGCACATGGCCTAATTTTTCTTTGGCACCAGGATGACAGTGATCTTCTTGAAGCAGGTGGGAACCTCACATCATAGTAAAGAGAGGTTAAAGATATATGCAAATATTCTGCCAGCTGGTCCACACATGATCTGAGTCCTCAGCCGGGCATTCCATCCAGGCCAGTCTCTTTCCGTGGGTTCACCCTCAAGAAGGCCAATTTGGTATCTGCAGCGGTGACTGTGGGTGTGGGTGCACCCGAGGCTGTCGGGGCAGGTGACGTTGTTTCACTGACCTTCCATTTAAAATGAGCATATAGTGCATTGAGCTCACTGGGGAGGAATGCATTGTTGTCAGCAATTCTACTCGACTTTGCTTTGTAGCCTGTTGTATCATGTAAACCTTACCACAGTTGACAAATGTGCGTGTGGTTTGTCTGAAACTCTAGTTTAATCTGGTTTTGTCACTGGGCGTCCCTGGTGGCTTTGCAAAGATTGTACCTAGCTTTCCTGAATAGGTCAGGGTCACCTGACTTGAACGCCTCAGACCTGGACTTCGTAGGGATTGGATCTTCCAGCTCATTTGTTGTTTCCATTTGGGGAACAGTCGGTTTAACTTCTTTGGCATGCAGCTTTCTACACACACTGATGAAGTCTGTGACAGCATACTCAGTTGGGTTGGCCTCCGAGTTCTTGAATGTGGACCAGTCCACCAACTCCAAGCATTCATGAGGGAGCTCATTAGTTACCTCAGAACTGCACTGTTATGACTTTCTGTATCAGATCCTCATGCTTCAGTTTCGGCTTGTAAGCTGGTAGGAGGACTGCCTTATGGTCTGATTTACCAAAGCGTGGGTGGGAAATGGAGTAGTAAGTGTCTTTAATGGTCCAAGGTATTTGGGCCTCTGGTGAAACAGGAGACATGTTGGTTGTATCTTGATAGCACACTCTTGAGGTTTGCCTGGTTGAAGTCACCTGCTACAATGAACAAGGCCTATAGGTATTCCTTCTCAAGTTCATTTGTAGTGGTGTATGTTTCATCATGTCACTCTTCACTTCCTCATGGGATGGGATGTAAACTGCTGTCAGGATAGCCTACTGTAAATTGGATTCTGCTAATACAAAACAGGTTAACCAGCAAAGCCCACGCAGTTTATGCCACACTTTGAGGAGACACCCACAGAATACGAGATGGCCAAAAAGACTGTCTCAGTGTTTATGAGCTGTGCTGGGAGCTTATAGGCAGAAATCTCAAAATCTCCAAATAGCCAGACTTTGATCAAGTTTGACAGTCAAACAAGTTATCTTAAACTGTTAGATGCCAGCAATTAAAGTTGAGACCATCTATGAAAACATCAGAGACATAATACTGGTGAAGAATTTAAAAAGTCACTCCTTAGCTCCATAAATACACATGTGAAGGAACCAAAACATTTCCAAAGGTCGACAAGCAAACAGTTGGCTGACTACGAGCTTGTCAGTAAGCCTGTACTCAAAGCAAAAAACTTTTTCTGTCACCCCCACAAACCCACGAAGGTCGGAAGCTGGGAAAGTGCAACAATGGCTAAAAATGCAATCTGGAGAAAAAGAAAGATGAGATGAAGTGTATGGAAGATCAGATCTGGACCTTAAAAGCAGCAAGAATCCATGGCAAGCGAGCGCCTCACAAAACATCATTTATAACCCAAGTGAATTGTAAGGATGTGTTTATGAATTGCACGGGAGACGTTGGAGTTTGGAAAATGAACTTAATGATGGAATTAAACCTAACAACGAAGAAACGAGTGACAATTGGGCTTTGCTGTTTACCTAAACATTCTGTACAGAGTTAAACCAACGGCATAAGAATCAGTGCTGAGTTACGTTAATGCTGAGATATGAATTCTGCTGATCCCATCTGCTTTTGTTAAGTTACGCTCTCATGGCTTTGCAGATATGTATGCAAGAGTCTGAAGAAGTGTCCAGACCCGAAACGTCAGCTTTCCTGCTCCTCTGATGCTGCTTGGCCTGCTGTGTTCATCCAGCTCTACACCTTGTTATCTCAGATTCTCCAGCATCGGCAGTTCCTACTATCTCATAAATGAGTTATCTTTACAATATGTACTAAGCAACTGTTAAAAATTGATGGTGATCAGACCTTGAATTTTCAAAGTCGCCATTAGTATTCTGAAGCTTTCTTTTCTCCAATCGTGGAAATGTAATGGAGATGTGTTATCTGAAATATTAATTTAAAACATGATTAGCCAGATTTATATATATCTCAAACTTTTCAAAAGAACTCTTTTCAAAGCAAAGGACACTGACTGACTACGGCATCTAAGTATGTTGTGTTTGCAAAGAACACAAGCTACTTAAATGGAGTCACTAAGCAACGTTCCTTCTAAGCTCACTGACTTCTGGTTGCAGACGTCGCTGCCACGCACAGACCTAGGAGGTCAATGCAGTTGAAGAAAAAGTTAGAGGGGATGCTGTTACTGAGTTTACAATGCTTTAACTGAGTGGTCCCATGAACCAGTTTGTGGGTGAAAATTATATTGGTTTTGAACACAATCAGGGAGAAACTGCCTAGGGAAAAGAAGCATGAGCCCTCCTTTTTCTCTGAGACCCCACTCATCAAATTTTGTGAGTTGAAAATGCACCGGAAGACCTCACCACTGCAAGCTGTCAAAGGAGAAGTCCATCTACACCACTGTCCCCAGAAAAAGAAATCAACTGTTTAGAACTGATCCAGGAAGAAACCTCAGTGCCAGTGGCCTATGCGGAAAGTGACTTTGGTTGCAGAGTAACATTTACAGCAGTGTAAATATTCCTTTTTTTTCAAGTTAACATTTCTTTGCCATAGTATTTACAAAAGTCTGCAGTGTCGTATTTTTTCCCCCATGCCTGGAGGAATTTTTTTTTGTTATTTTTCAAGAAGCATAGTTGGACATAATTGCACTTTTTAAACAAATCTCAATAATGATTGCATCCTTGCTCGAGTAAAGTTATTTTTGCAATAAATTAGCTTTTTACTTGTCAACTTAAGGAATCTGGCTGACTTTGGTTCTAATACTGAGCTTCGTACAGTCTAATATATAATTGGAAATTATCCACTCCCCTTTTATATTCAAACAATGTTTATGTCGAGTGGAATAATAGAACAATAAAAGGAATCAGTTCACCCTTTCTAACTTTGTTGTAACATGGGCTTTCAGATTAAATTTCAGTATGCTTGTTATGTTCACTAAGTGAATGAATGGTAACTTCTAAAATGTCACTGTGCCATGTATTTGCTGTGTGGAGTAAAAGACCCATCACTCTGGCTGATGGATTTAAATTCAGTTCAAAAACAGGTTATCAGTTATGGTGACCGCAGAGTTACTTTGGGCAATAGATGCAGGCCTTGATGGCAATGCCTACATCCAATGAATAAAAAAAATACCTGTTTTTGACTCCTTTATTGCAGTGAGAATTCACACAATGATTCCAAAAGCTAAAAGAGAATTGCAAGTTGTCTATCTCTTTTCAGTCAAGAATCATGACCAAAGATGTTATGCATGTCACATCAATAATTTCAAGTTGTGTGTTGAATTTTTTTGATAATCATAAAATCTTTATTATTGTTATTGACTTTCAGTCAGCCAAGATGTTTTTGCTTTTGTTTCAAATTTCCAGCATCAGGAATATTTTGATTTTTGTTTTATTACATAATTGTCAAAATTAATATACTGCATACAATGATCAGAATATTTTATTCCCAACACAGGTTGAAAAATCAGTATAAAACGTCAAGGTTTATGTGTTTCACTTTACTATCTCAGTGATGTAATATCTTAAATGTGAATTTTTACTGCCAACATTTTGTGGTGTGCAGGTCATTCACAAAAGGCATAAATGTCATTTACTGTTGAAATAGCTTAGTTGTATTCTGGGACCATGGAAACTTGTATTACATTTGAAACTGACATTGAGGCCATAGCGGTGGTGCTGGTGGTATTATAAATAACTGGGTTATCATTTAGCAAAATGATGGTCTCATAGTGATTCAACTTGTTTTCTTGAGGTTTGTACTAGAACCATAGAAAACATAAAAATAGGTCATTCAGTGCCAATTATTCTGCCAGCCGAATAAACTAGTGCCCGCTCACAAGCACCATATCTGTAGCCTTGCAGCTTCAGGTGCAGATCCAAGCTTCTTTTGAATGAGTTGAGGGTTTCCATCTCAACAGCCAAGTTGAGTGGCACATTCCAGACCTTCACCACCCTCTAGGTGAAAATGCTTTTTTCTCATGTCCCCTATAATGTTTGTACCAGTCATCTTAAATCTGTGCCACCTGGTAATTGACCTATGCATTTGGGAAGTAGGTCTTCCCTTTCCACTGCATCCATGCCCCTCATTATTTCATATGTCTCGAATTAAGTCACCACTCAGCCTCCTCTGTTCCTAACGAAAAGCCTGTTAATCTGTTCTGTACTCTCTGTAGAGCAATTTTGTTCGTCCTGTAATGTGACCAGATCAGTACTCAGAACTTCAGCTGTGGCCTGACCAATGTCTTCCATTCCTACTCTTGCATTCAGTATCTCACCCAGTCAAGGAAAGCATCTCATAATGCCTTCTTTACCACCTTTTCGATCTGTCCTGCCATGTTCAGGAAACTGTGCACATGCACTCCAAGGTCTCTCATTGTCTTTACCTCTCTCAATAACCTCCATTTATTGTGCTTTCCTTTGCTTTATTTGTCTTAACCAGACGTATAACCTCAGACTTCTCTGGAAAGATTTCCATTTGTCACTTGCCCCCCAACTCAACCAAACCATTGATATCATCTTGTACCTCTTCACTATCAACCACCCATCTTTGTGTTGTCTCTGTATTTCCCAAAGGTGCCTTCCAAAAACTACTATTTGAATGTCTTGAAAATTTAGCTTATTTATTGGACTATACTCCTCCCTATTTGCTTCAGTTTTTTTACTATTTCCTTCTATTGCAGACTCCGTGATGGAAGGACCACAATTTTTTTGATTATTAAAAATAAAAACTAAATAAGAATGAAATGCATTTTAGATCAGCAACATTAACTTTAATGATCTATGAGACAACACATCTGTCTATCACTAGAGATACTGTATGATCCATGCATTTTGAAAGGAAAATATTTGCAGGGCCATGACAGAAGAATGTATGAGTAGTGGCACTAATTGGATAGCTCTTTCAAAAAGCCAGCATAGATAGAGATGATGGACCAAATTGCTTCTTTCTATACTGTTAGATTTTTTGATCTAACAAAGTAGGCTACTCCTATGTAAATTAGTTTGGGATCCTTAAAATGATCTGTTTAAGTAAGGTTTGCAGTCATGTGACAATACATTGTGGCAGACGGTTGTGGTTTTAACTGATTCCGTCTTGCCCTTGAACACTTTTTATACCTATTTCTTTATCTTCAGCACCATAGAAGTGTATCAATAATTAAAGTAGCAATTAAATTCACTGTGGTTTTTGTTGTATTCTGTACATTAATGTGTGTCCTATTGAGGGACATTCCTCCATTGTAAGAGCAAATTTCAATTAAAATGTCATTTAGGCACCAATAATTTTCAAATGTCTACCTTTAATTTCAAATGTAGGATGGTCAATCTCGAACAATCCGGCAGTTCCAATTCACTGATTGGCCTGAACAAGGAGTGCCAAAAACAGGAGAGGGATTCATTGATTTCATTGGTCAAGTACATAAGACTAAGGAACAGTTTGGACAGGATGGACCTATCACTGTGCACTGCAGGTAAGGATGAAAAAGCAGCCAGCACTTTTCATTATGGTGATGAAATTAGTTATAACTAAGCAAATTTTTCTCTTCGACTGAGCTCTTTTGTAAATGTATCAATGTTTATTTTCTGTTATTGATATCTAGCAGTCTGTTTGATAATTTTATAAGTCTGTAGGAACACGAGTTCTTTCCCCAAGATTTTGTTTTTCTCAAATAGTCTCAGACATGGCACTGTTACTTTGGGTTGATTGGTTATGTACAAAATGTATACTGAGTGATTAGGCATGGAAGAACGACAAGTTGGCTTGGAGGCTATGAGGGGCTATTGGGAATGGGTGGGGTTGTGATTGCGCTGTGAGGAGTGACGACTAGAAGGCCACAAATATAACCAAACATCTAGAATGAAGCCCCAGAGATACGAAGAAGCTCTTTTAAACCTGCCCCACCTTAGCACCAATATTCCCTCTAAGCTGCAAGGCTATGTGATCGCAGCCACTGTGATATTGCACCATGCACGGCAATCAGCATGTTGACACTTACTGACCTCAGAGATCCATGCACAAAAACATAAATTAGAGGGAATGATGCTTAACACTGAGCCACATGAAATCTGCTTCTGGGTGTGGTAAGCCTAGCTGTATCCTTCAACAGCACCCACCCTCAGAGGAGCAAAGATCATGCCATTTGAAGTACCTTCGACTGAACTGGGTCCTGCAAACCACATAATTTCATAGCTCAAGCTATCCTCCTCAGTCAAGAACAACCAGACCTTAAAGAGTTAGTGCATGAGAATTGAATTCAACAAAGCTCTGAAATGCGTAGCTATGCAAAAATCTGACGAAGGTTTCTTCTGTCTAATAGCGCTGGTGTGGGACGAACTGGTGTGTTCATTACCCTGAGTATTGTGCTGGAACGGATGAGGTATGAGGGAGTTGTGGACATGTTTCAAACAGTGAAGACATTACGAACACAACGGCCTGCCATGGTTCAAACAGAGGTGAGATAGTTAATTTTTTTTTACTTAAGCTAGTTGAAATGCGCCATGATAATTACCTTAAAATAGCTTCTAGAAATGTCAATGTGGTTTGTTGTCTATTCATATTCTATCAATAAGACACTGAAATTATATGTAGAAATCTTACTGGGGGAGTCCAGTCCATCTGCCAAGTTGTCAAAGCAGTGAAAAGTCCAGATTTCTGTGGTCATACATTTTGCTGCAGGCATTCATTGGAATTTATCTAGGATGAATCAGATAAACTTTGTCTTGGACAGTAACACAAAAAGCTCACCATCAGTTAGTCTTGTACTTTGTACAAAATGATTTCACCTGTTGGGTTATAGTGCCCTTTTAGTGAATTTTGCCTTTTGAATTGATACAGATGTTGACATAGTTGATATTTTAGCTGAATCATCAAACTTGTGACATCGTATTATTTGCTAAAACTTGTTGAACACCTGTTCTATTATCTGTAGATAATGGTATCCTTATATTGAATAAGAATGTTTGCACGACTTGTAATTAGATCATGGAATCCCTACAGTGCAGAGAGAAGCCATTTGGCCGAATAAGTTTGCACTGAACCTCCAAAGAGCACTCCACCTAGACCAGCACGGACTTAGACAAGGTTGTAAGATTGGATATAACAAAGGATGGGTAAGCTTTCTGGCTTGGTGCTTTAACAGCATAAATCTAAGACTGTGCACTTGAGTGTGTAATGTTTTGTCAATCATTCCACCTGTATGCCCTGAAAGCATTGGTTTGTGCTTACTTTCTCACTGCGTGCGCAGTGAAGGCACCTCAGGATCACCAAAACATGGCTGGTGAATGGCTGGGCTTCAAACATTTTATTGGCACAAGAAAACACAGGTTATCCCAACAGTGGTGAGAACCTCTGCCTATAGCAAATGGAGGAACAGGACAGATGGCATGTAATGTAACATAGCGCATAGGAAATTAGTCAAGGTTGGGACAATAGCGAGAGAAAACCAATGAAAAGTTACACTGAAATAACAACAATCATCAGATGAAAGATAAGGCACTCTTCCTTGAATATGCTTTGAATTTTATTGGAACATTGCATGTCCAGGTGAGAGGGAGCAAGGCTGAGAATTAAAATGACAGGCGACTGGAAGCTCAGTCACATTTGTGAACTGAATGAATGGAAGCATTCCACAAAGCGGTCAGTCAGTCTGCTTTTAGCCTTCCCACTGGAAAGGAAACCACCTCATGGCAGTAAATATAGTAAACTAAATGGAAAGAAATTTTACTTTGAAAGAGTGTTTGGTACTTGGGAATGAAAACAGAGGAGGTAGAATTTCAGGTATTACATTTCCTGCACTTGCATGCAGAAGTGTTGTGGGAAAAGGAAGGGTAGTCGGATGAATGAGGAATGAACCAAGGTGTCATTGGAGGAAATAGTTCCTTTGGAATGCTGAAAGCCAAGGCAATAGGAAGTTTTTTTTTATGGTGGCACTGTGCTGAAGGTGACTGAAATGATAGAGGATGATTATTAGATACAGAAGCTAGAGGGTCAGAAAGTAAGGACAAGTGGAAATCTCTAATGGTTCTAGAACAAAAGGAAGGGTTCACAGCAGGAGCATAAATTAGAATGGAAACAGTTGACAGCCCCATCAGTAATAATGCACAGGGAGTGGAGTGCTCCACAATTTGTAATAAAACAGCATGCAGATCAGAAGCACTCAAATGGAAGATTGCAACATCTAAAATAGATGTAACAGGATGAAGAAACAAGTAGAATGGAATAGAGTCCTTACTACAAGCAGGGCTTGCTCAAGTCTGGACAAGACTATTGTGGGCATTATTGGGGTTAGAGTAAATGTTATTTGTAATTCTGTCCCCAGAAATGGAGATGGACAAGTCAAGGAAAGAATCAGATGTTAACATGTTAAGGCAAAATAGGATAAGATTTGGAAGCTAAGTTGGTACAATTTTCTAATTCGGGCAAGAGCATGAAATGGCACTGTTACAGTCATCAAGGAGGTGAGAGAGGGAGCATCAGCAGACTGGAAAAAGAATGTTCCACATAATCTGGAAAGAGGAAGCATTACTAGGACCCTTTTGTGTACCCATACCTAACCTTTTTCTTTGAATAATTTGAGTGCAGTTGAAGGAGAAATTGTTCAATTGAGAACAATTGAATGCCCATATAAACAGCCAAGTTGAGAAAGGTATTGGTGGATAAAGACATGTTGGAACTCTATTCAAGGAAGAAGAGTGAGCTTTTTCCATAGAATCCCTATGGTGTGCAAACAGGTCATTCAGCCCAACATGTCCTCACCAATTCTCTGGGTAGCATTCCACCCACACTCACCCCCCTATCCTATCCCTGCAACCCCCATGGCAAATCCACTTAACTGACACATCCCTGGACACTATGGGCAATTTAGCATGGCCAATCCACCTAACCTGCACATCTTAGACTGAGAATGTGCAAACTCCACATAAACAGTTGTCCAAGACGAGAATTGAAACCGGGTCCTTGGTGCTGTGAGGCAGCAGTGCTAACCAAGAGCCGCCATCGAGACTCAGGAGGAGGTAGAGATAGATCGGATAAAAGTTCCAGGAAACTGTTAAAATGACGGAAGACATCAGAAGAGTCACATACAGACGGATAAAGACTGGATAAGAAGGGGGATAGTCAAGATAGAAAGTAAAGAGTTCAGTGGGGCAGGAACAGGCTGAATTAATGGTTCTACAGGGCAATTCTGTTTGTGGATTTCGGGAAGGAGGTCAAAATAAGCATTTCAAGGTTGCAGAACTATGATGTTGGAGACTGGAGAAAAGAGTAGATATGATCATCAAAAGCCCTGGAAACAGGTCCTGGCTTGAAGTTTGAGGCTAGGGCTATGGTCCATAGATAGGTGAAAGTGTTACAGAATTGATATTTGGCACTTGCTAGGTAAATTTTGGTATGCAGCCAACAACAGCACCACCCTTGCCAGATGATTCAATGATAATGTAGGTGTTGGATTTGAGACAAGCAACTCCTGGTACTTTAGCATATAATATAAAATAAAATAAAAATTTCTGGTAATATTGGAAGCATTCCCTCCCCTTCCCCCTCACCCCAACACCAATGCCAAAGAACATAGTAAACCTTGTCTTTTAAGATTTTCTGGCAAGGAACTTCTTACCATATATAAATAAGCAAACCTTTCTTTGCTTAGAAATATTTTCTGCTTTATTAGGGAACAGAAATTGGTCATTTGAGTCTGTTTTTGATTGCTGTTCAGTGAAAGGTCACCTGCTGCATGTAACCAATGCCCACACTCTGTGTTAACAGATGTGTAGAAAGCAAGTACAATAATAAATGCAAAGAAATGTTGTGAATCTTGAATAAATGACAATGCTAATAAATGTTTTTTTATGTAGTTTTAATGTATACTGAATTCTGGATTATTGGAAGATGTCCACAAAAGGTGTTTAATCTTATGTCATATATCTTACTTATGTTAACTGAAAACTAAGACTGGCCAGATGCGTAAGAGCAATTCAAGATTGTGTTATCTGCTTGGAAATTATGGGATTCTCCAAATCAGTTATTTTTATTTAATCAAAAAATGTTTACTGGGACAAGGACCCCCCAGCATGACAAATCAGGAGGATTGGCAATATTCTTGTCAGTGCTGCACTCTTGATCCTTCTGCCTCCACAGAACAAATCTTCCATCGCTTGTCTTGTCACTCACAGAGATGTTAAGGAGAGTTTCAGAATTTTGATCCAGCGACAGTGAAGGAATGGCAATAGCTTTCAAGTCAGAATGGTGTTTGAATTGGAGAGGAGCTTGCAGGTGATGTGTTCTCTCACATCTGTTACCACTACTCTATCTAGGTGATAGAGGGATCAGGTTTCAAAGTTGATTCCAAAGAAGCCTCAGTGGGTTACAACAGTGCATCTTGTAAATGATACACACACTGTGACCACAGTGCATTGGTGTTGAAGGGAGTATGTGCAGGTGATGGATGGGATGCCAATGAAGTGGGCTGCTTTATCCCAGATGGGTCACGCCTTTTCTGTGTGAAATAACTCCACAGAAGCTGGTATCTCATTACCAAGTCACCTTTTATTTACAAATGCACAGTTCTCAACTCTCATACTGCCTCATATGGAGTCAGGCACCAATGTGTCAATATCCCTGATACCCAACCTTTTTATGTCATCCAGTGCTCCCTGATTGGACTAGATTAACAGCCTTAATCAGGGAATTGATAGTTATATGAGGTCCAACTGGCTGAATGCGTTACAATCACTACACATGCTGTTGGAGTAAGTGGACAGTATTCCACTGCTGGTGGAGATTCTGGTAAATTGCAAGTTCCTAGAGCTTGGCTTTCCCCTTCAGAATACTACACCCATCATTGGGTCTCCTCTGTCAAGTACAGTGTTTCCCATCTTCATCTGATTATGGGTGTTGGCCTGGCTCTCGAGCTATTGCTGGCATAAAGCAAAAAGCCAAGCTATTCAATGACCAGGGGATCTAGCCTTAACAAAGCACACACATTAACTATAGAAAATATGATCTGATCAGTAGGTGAATAAATATTCTTCATTTACCTGCATAATTGCAGCTGCAACAAGAATTCTAGGACAAAATGACTACCTTGATCGGTTCCCAGTACTGCTTTAAAAATCTACTCCTTCCACCATGGGTGCACCATAGTTGTAGTATGTCCAGCTTAGTGACAAATCAGGCTTCCCTGGAAGCAGTCCCCAAACCAGTGAACTAAAAAGAAAAGGGCAGCAGGTATTGGGAACATCATCACAGCAAGTTCTCCTCCATGTTACACACCATCCCAATTTAAATCTGAATAGGTGTTCTGCCTCTTTTGCTGGTCAAAATCTAGGAACTGTCTGCCTCGCCTTGTTTTAGGCCACTTCTATCATATGTGAATGCAGTGGTTCAAGAAGCCAACTTACCTCCACATTCTCAAGGGTATGAATAAGCAATGAATGTGGACTTCTCCAAAAAAAGCTGATATGCTGGGGAAGTATTTTTAAAAAGACTCCGATGATCACATACTGGGGAAGTCTCTAAAAGAGTTGGTAACCCCATATCATCTGTGAAGTGGCCCAACCAAACATCATCTTAGACAAATTTGGACAGTCCCGAAATGGTCCCATAAAATTGATTCCTGGTCGTGTCTGTCCAGTTCTACCCTATGATATCCATAGGGAGCTTTTAGATATGTTTCTACCAATTTTCATGAAGGTTTCTGGATTGTTTGTTAATCAATTGATTAGTAAAATCTGAAGCAAAAAGTGCTCTGAGTGCAAAAATCAGATGCAGTAATCAGTGCAAACTCATGGTCTTAGGATGCTAGCTGAAAAGTCTTGATGATGGCTGTAGCTATGCTATTATCAAAATGGATATAATTAGAGCTGCAATGAATACTATGAATACTGTTCATAGTAGAAATAATGAGTAATATACCAACTATGATGCTTTTTACTCATTGTCACAAAAAAAACAGAATTTTAAATCTGCAATAAAGACTGGCTTGGAAAGAACTTGGGAATCTATGGTACTCATTAGGTATCCAATTTATTATAAGAAGAAGGTTGAAAAATGGCCAATTTGCACTTTCCACTGCTGTTACGAATGTGAAACAGATGAAACCCTATTGAATTTCAGGACTTTGCATTTTCAATGCTGACCTTTTAGTGAGTGACATTATAAGCATTACAGCATCCTTTACTCCAGTATTGCCCAGGATCACACATAATGAGTTTCACCTCTCTTTAGAGACGTTTGGTGGTCATATTTCAATTCCACTATGTTATATATTAATCACTCATGTAAGCAAATATTTTAGAATAACAAACACAAGTAATTAGTTGCGTATTTTCTGGATTATTTTAAAAAATTATCTCAATATTTAAATAAATCTTTTGAATTCAAATTTTAATGGAGAACACTTTACTGAATGTTTAATCTCTGTTCACAGGACCAGTACCAGTTATGTTACCGAGCAGCGCTGGAGTACCTTGGAAGCTTTGATCACTATGCAACGTAACTTCTATCACCCAATCAGAACTTGTGACTTTCAGGACCCAGAAAATAATTTTTTGAGCCATATCAAATCATTGTTTAGTTATCCTGTACAGCGAGTTGTCAAGGTGTAATGATATCAGCAACTCAGAAATTCTATCATGGTTCTTGGACTGATCAGGAGCTCAGTTGACTTGTTTTAACTCCAAACCAATAAGATAATAATTTACGCATCTCAATTCCTCTTCGCTCTACATGGGATTTCCTTTTTTGATTATAAGTTTAGCTCAAATATAAAGCATCAATTTTTTTTGGTCTTTAACAGGGGTGCCATCAACAATTTTATAAATCTTTTTATTGAAACTGGTAATTTTTTCTGAAGCTAAATTGTTTTGCTCAATGGCAAAACAGAATTCCTTGTGCTGTAAGTGCATTTTTTATTTTATTATAATTGGTTAAGTTTTTATATTCTCCTTTTTGCTGATTTAAGGGTTCTTTATGTTTGCAACAGAGCTGCCCATTTTAGTGCAGCTCTGTATTTAATCCGGGTGACTGGAATCTTAACCACTGTTCTGATAATAGCTGCTGTATCTACTCCTAGGGATAGACAAACTGAAGTTTAATCTTATATGAAAGTGTCTTCTCTCCAGATACTGTACAATACAAAACTATTAATACTGAATAAAGCAGGAGCCTGGTGCTGTTAGATGAATTTAATAAAAAAGAAAACAAGGATGCATTTTGGTTTTGTACAGTTTCTTAAAATGACCGATTTGATCCTTTCCTTGTTTAAAAAAAATAAAAAGGTTAGAAATAACCAATACCCGATAATCTGCCAATCTATTGGAGATAAATTTAAACTGGATCACAACCAACTTGATGTAAACACTGCAGCGCACCTTGCTACAAACTTCAATCACCTACCCAGAGAAGAGCTGGGAGCAGCAACACTTATTTGTCATCAATCAGACCAGTTGGTCTCTGTTTTATGTTGACTATTGTGGCAGTTAAGACTGCTAAGCGTTTCCTTACCAATAGCCTGAATTTTCCAGTTAGCTATTCTGGTGGGTGGAAGTTCTGTGATCGGATAATCAACTGTTATACTGTGGAGCTGTTGCGGTAGGGTGTCTGGGTGTGGAATTGGGGAAGGCGGTGGATGAACGCCAAATATAATCAATTAGAATGATATCGACTGTAACCTGATTTGAAAAGGTTGAATTGTTTGGAACACGCTCATTTTTACCTTGTGTATGCATAGTGCTGTAGGGGTTACTCTGTTGTATACACAGTCTGTTTTCTATTTGTTGATAAATGAGATCATCATTGGAAAAATCTTGATGTTAATAAAGTTGAATAATCGGGTTTTATACAACGTGGTTTCATTGGGGAATTTTTACTTATTGTTCCACTCTTAGAAATTAAGCCTGCCTAAAAATCAATCCTCCATTTTGGTCTGCATGCAGGTATAGATATAAACTTACCAAAAGCAGTTAAGTAGAAAAGTAAGGCCATTGCTGATTAAAAACAAATTAATACGGTGATGTTGGGACAAGAGTGACGATGAGATGAGACCTCAAAATGATTTGCAGATATAATATTGTGATCACACTTAATTGTTTCATATATATTACTGACCTCACCAAAAATGAATATTATTATACCAGGAGTGGAACTGAAATTAGATCCACTCGTAACAATTTTTTGGAGCAATCAGATTCGTGATTTCCTGTTGTTTCAGTTCCAACCTTTCACACTGCCACTTTCAGTTTTCCAATTTTATTTCCTCTTTATTTCCTACATCTTGCTGGGAGAACTTCCAAATGCTACTTCCAAGTGCTGACAACCCTGCTATATTCTGGCCAAGTTCCCACTCTTCATGTATGCATGCTTAAGGCAAAGTAGCAGTAAACTGTTACACAGTCAAGCCAAGTTCTGTTCCCACTAAATATCATTCATATGTCCTCTGTCAGAGGTTGGCCATTAATAGTTATAGTCTCCTTCTAGGGCTAAAGCTTCTGAGGCCAATTATAGCATCTAAGCAAGATCAGCTAACTCACTAAAGCCTGAGTGAAACCTGGAGCTGGATTTTATTGGATGCAACCCTAACCCCACCAACAAAAAATAGATGATAGGTGCACTGCTGTCATTCATACTCAGCTGTCAATAAAGAGATCTGAAGTATGACTTCTATCTCTCTGGAACAAGAAGTCCCGCTTCTGAGATTCTCGGTTGGCAGCTGTCCAGGACCAGTAGTACACAGGGAGCAATGGCCACTGTCCGTGTTGCAGCGAGGCTGAAAGAAAGTACACTTTGATGGAATTAATCCAGCAGATAGGGGATGTTAAGGAGCCCACTAACAAGATGAACATTTGCACTATCTCTCGTGTGGGTCATGTCAATACTGATAGTAAAGAATTTTGACAGGCTCTCTTCGCAACCCCATTAAAGTGTCTAGTGGTCTTCAGCAATGCTGAAACAGCAACAGTGGATAATGTTCAATCCGCAATCCCTCATTCTTCTGGTCTTCAATGTTCAGTCCTTTTTTAACGGTATAATACATAGCAACAAAGTTTCTGCTCTATACTTAGAATACTGCTTCACATCATAATATGTTCTAAAAACTGCCCAACTAAAAACTTTCATTTAGAGTGAATTTTGTTTCCTCATTACATAAATTCTCAGTGTTCTGAACTGTCAAACAGAATACAGACTGACAGCTAACTCCAGATCACATGATATTTTGTAGAACTTCATAATGTTATAATGGGAAACTAAATAACTACCTTCTAGAATATTCCCGAGCAGACTTTGGTCTTAACAGGACGTTGCATAAAAAGAAATTATGTGGCTCAGTGGTTAGCACTGCTGCCTCACAGCGCCAGAGGCCCAGGTTTGATTCCACCCTTGGGCGATGTCTATGTGGAGTTTGCACATTCTCCCCATGTCTGCGTGGGTTTCCTCCAGGTGCTCCGGCTTCCTCCCATAGTTCAAAGATATGCAGACTAGGTGGATTGGCCATGCTAAATTGCCCATAGTGTTCAGGGATGTGTAGATTAGGTGGGTTATAGGGGGATGGGTCTGGGTGTGTTGCTCTGAAAGTCAGTGTGGACTTGTGGGCTGAAGGGCCAATTTCCATACTGTAAGGACTCTATGATTGCATGACACGGGTCATCACAAGATATGAGTTTTTCCTGATGGGTGAGTGTGTAAATGTGTTTCATAATGTGATGATAAGCCAATAAGGTTATAGGCTACATTTCTGTATGATACTGTTAGCTTAACTCTGCAGGTACAATAATGAATGAAGAGGATAAGCCACAGTACAGTCTCACCAATGAGGGGAAATTAGCCATGTTTCCATTGCTCAATACTACTAAGTGCCCCTTCTAATAATTTCACGTACATGAACATGAGGTTAGATTGAACTCTGATGTGATTCTTTTTGCATGCAGATAAGTGAGCAGCTGCTTCAATCACATGTAGCTATTATATCATTATTAAAGAAATGCACAACTAAATGTTTACAACCTGAAACTGTTAAAGAGATGACCTCACAGGGGAAAGCAGCAACAGCCAAGTTTGTGATCAACTGTACTGCACAGCAGGGGCAGAAAAAAACTGGGAAAGCTTTAGTCATAGGGGACTTGATTGTAAGGCAAACTGACAGGTGTTTCTGTGGCAGCAAATGAGACTCTCAAATAATATGTTGCCTCCCTGGTGCCATGGTTGGGGGTATCTCAGAGCTGCTGTAGGACATTCTGAAGAGGAAGGATGAACAGCCAGCAGTCATGGTATATGTTGGTACCAGCAACTTGAGTAAAAAAGTAATGAGGTCCTGCAACAGGAATTTCGAGAGTTAGGTAGTAGATGAAACAGGAAGACTACAAAGGTTGTAATCTGTCAATTACTTCACTACTACCTCACTACTGCGTACAAGAATAAGAAGACAGGTCAGATGAACATGTGTCTAAAAGGACTGAGTAGGAGGGAGGGCTTTAGATTTTTGGATAATTGGGACAGCTTCTGGGGGAAATGGTTCCTATACAAGCTGGACGGGTTTCACCTGAACTGAAGTAGGTCCAATATTCTGGGAGATTTGCTCGTACTGTTATGGAGGCTTTAAACTGATTTGGCAGGGGAAATGGGGCACAGAGTAGATGCAAAGTCAGGAGCAGGGTCCAATCAGATATAGAAGGAATACTAAGATAATGCAGTAGGCAGAGAAGGGATAGGCAGGATAAGGTACATCAAAGTCCAGAAAGCTAAATTTTATCTATTTTAAAGCAAGGAGCTTGACTGGTAAGGTCGATGAACGCAGAGCATTGGTCGGCATGTGGGAATATGGTATTGTTGCAATCATTGAGATATGGTTGAAGGAAAGACAGGATCGCAGCTCAACACTTCAGGGTACAGAGGTTTAAGGTGCAATGCTGGGGGGAGGGGAAATAGACAAAAGGAGGTGGGGCATTGCATTAAGGGAGGACATCCTCAAAGGGTCTTCAGATGAGGCCATCTGGGTAAAGCTTAGAAATAAAACAGGGATGATTACCTTGCTGGGATTATACTACAGGCCTTAGAGGGAGAGATAGAGGAACAGGTATGTAGGCAGATCGTAGATAGGTGTGACAGAAACAGGCTTAGCTGTAAGGGACTTAACTTTGCTAACATTAACTGGGATTGCCTTAGTGTAAAAGGATCAGATAGGGCGGAATTTTTAAAAGTGCATCCTGGAGAGCTTTTTGTTCCAGCAGGCAGATAGTCCTACTCGAGATGGGGCGATGCTAGAACTAATCCTAGAGAATGAAGCTGGTCAGGTGGTTGAAGTTTCAGTGGGTGAGCATTTTGAGGATAGTGATCATAACCGTAAGTTTCAAAGACATCATGGAAACAGATAAGGATGGTGTAGAATTTTAAGTGTCTAATTTGGGGAAGAGTGATTTCAATATCATGACAGGAACTAACAAACATAGCCTGGGAGCAGTGCTTGCAGGTAAGTCTACATTTGGAAAGTGGCAGTCTTTTAAAAAGTAGAAAAGTGAAAAATTCAGAGCCAGGGTATTCCTCTAAGAGTGAAGGGCAAGGGCAGCAAGTGCAGGGAACTCTGGATGTCAAGGAATGTTGAGTTTGGTAGAGAAAAAGAAGGAAGCATGTGTCAGGTACAGCACATTAAAAACAGGGTAGGCTGGCTTTGTATTCCTGGGAGCAGAGGAGTCTGAAGGGGATCTGATTAAGGTATATAAAATTATGAGCAGTACAGACAGAGGACATCATGAGAGTCTCTTCCCTGTGGGTATAACTTTTAGATGAGGACAAAATGGTTTAGGGGAGATCTGAAGAAAGTTTTTTCACCCAGAGGGCGGTAGATATATGAAACATGCTGCCTAAGGTGGTGGAGGCAGGTAGGATAAGTATTTAAAATGCCGGGGCATAGCAACTATGGAGCAAATGCAGGTAAATGGAATTAGTATGGTTTGGTATTTGTGGGTCAGTATAGAAGTGGTGG